GAAGAGCACTGAACTTTGTTTCTTCGGACATAACCAGATCTCAAAGAGTGACGAGGTTGATACCGGCATACATAGGAATTTAGCCACATCTTGAAGCTCCTTGGGGGACTCGAGCACATGTTTTGAGTCTGGGACCAACGTTGTTCTTTTTTTGGATGGCGTGACTTTGCACAAAGCCGGGCTTCACATCGAACGAGTACAAAGCAGTCCTCATGCGCTACCGGAAACCTTTGGTATATCAAAGGGGTCAGTTTTTTAAACGCAAACCAAGCGTAAGAAACGATGGTGACCATGGGAAAGTAGATTGTAGACTTCGATGAGTAGTCACGTAAGAGGCCTTAGAATTGCTGAGGGTTCGAGATATTTAGACAAACGGGTAGTATCGTAGATGTATTACTAATTGATGGCTACCTTTCTGTTGGTAAGAATGGGCGAAAAACCTCTCCTGTCATTGGGGTCATATTTACGCAACAGCATATAGACAACCCGGCAAACTTCTGTCGGAATTATCGTTGAAAAAAGCAGGTACTTCACAAAAACTTTTGCTTGGAGGAGGCAGAAGAAAAAGGATTCCGTAGACAAAAGGTTGCTTTTTTTCCAACAGGATTTGAAGTTCACAGATGAGTCTTGTTTGGGGTGAAAACAGCAAAAGCCGTTTAGCCAAACCCTATCGATAATTGTTGGATAGCCCTTTCTACCAGTATTCGAGTTGCTGAATGAACCTGCCAGGTCATCTGCTTGAAACGTGCGTTTTACGGCACCCTGTAGAGAGGAATTATTCCTCCAGATGCTGCTGTTTTTCTGAATGAAAGTTTTGTATTCACTTTCAAGCCGACCTCACATAATCCAAGTTCAATCTTTCCTTGTGGTTGAACATTTGGTTCGCACAGAGGTTTGCTTCGAAGCACACCACAATTCTCGGTGTTTTCCGTCCACCTACTATCTGTCCTTAGTTCGTCCTTAGCTTTCTTTGTTTTTGTCGACTGTCCTCACATTTTGTTCGAGACTGGGGTGGTGGGTAGAACACCATTCACTACAATTTAATAACACGGTCTCAGTTGTTTGCTTCGAAGTTACCGGTAAAAAACCTTTAGTCATGCGTAGGTTGGACGATCCCTACAAAGTGTAAGGTCATGCTTGTGGACGTGCACTCACTGAACACGCCACTTACAATCCAGGGACAGGTACTGGAAATTGCTGAGCGTTTTACATATCTTGGAAGTTGTATTAGTTCTGATTGTAGTGTGACAGATGAGATGAATGCAAGGCTCGGGCCGCGTTTGCTAACTTGAAACACCTATGGCGTCAGAATGGTTTATCCCTGAATCTGAAGGGACGTGTGTATCAAGCTACAGTACGGGCTGTTTTGTTGTATGGCTGTGAGACTTGGCCTATTCGAGCAGCGGACCTGAGACGTCTTCAGGTGTTCGACAATCGTTGTCTCAGAACCATAGCTCGTGTGGGTTGGTGTCGGCGAATCCGTAACGAGGCAGTTAGAAAGCGTGTTTTCGGTTGTGTAACGGGTACTTCCATTGAAGAATGTGTCCAGCACCAGAAGCTGCGTTGGTTGGGACATGTGTTACGTATGCCGAACCATCGTTTGCCGAAGAGAGTGCTGTTTCCCATGCCCAACTCAGAGTGGCGGAAGCAGAGAGGTGGCCAACCCTTGACTTGGCAGAGGAGTATGAAGGAGATCACGAAACGCTTGGGTGCGGTCGGGTGCTACTTGCCATCCAGGGTGGGGAACACGTGATCCTCACTGTGCCTAGTTGGAGACATTACAAGTATGGCTGCCAACCGATGTCAGTGGCGTTCTTGTTGTTAGTTTCTATCCAGATTACCTGAGTGAGTATCTGGAGGTGTAGGCACCTCAGAATGATTGTGTTAAGCTGGCAGTAAGTCCCTTCCCTGTCCACCTTTACTCTTTTCTTTACAATAAGGCTGTCAGATAAATCATGGTTGTACGGCAGTGAAACATCGGTGTTGAACACTGGTATCGTGCTGTCGTTGATGATGATGATGATGATGATTATCAAAGGGGGAAATTGGGTTCGAAGGTCTACAGTGCTGTTCACAAAATTGGGCAATCTTATGTGGCTCGGTAGTGTGGTTTGCGGTCTAAGTTTCCGAGTCAACTCTCGTGATTCTGATTGGTGTTGTGATCACATGAAATCGCGACAGAACACGTCAAGGTAGGCACACATGGGTAAGTAGATCAGTTGCGCACATCCGCACATACCAATGTCAGACGGGTCGCGACAAGGGGAATCGCGGTTAGGGACCGGTGAGCTAACCATATGGAGATCAAAGGTACATGAGAGGAGAAATCAGAACTTAGATTCCCATACGTCTTTTCTGCATCCAACACCAAATGACACAGATTCGGTCGAACCTGCTGTCTTTTTAGCTTCCTCCCAAAATTTGTTAGTTCCGTGGGTTTACTCGAAGGACGATTATTAACATGGTATGAAGCGCGTGTGTACACAGTTGGTTGGAGGCTGATAGCATCCCTGTAGATTTAGCGTTAGGTAGAATTTTTAGAGAAGTTTTGCCAAAATATGGAGGGCGTGTTTGCTACTCCAAGTCCTGGTTACCTTTGAGCCAATGAAACAGCACCCGACGGATGAGCAAGGTCGGGCATTCTCGGATCATCTACGCTGTACCTCACACTTATGAACCACGTGGCGTTTTCCGTCTTTTTCGGGGGCCTTCAGGCTGGTGAGCAACCAATCTTTACCTCGGCCTAACTTCCGTTAACACATCTCCTACCACACAGAGAAAACCACAAACTTCGCGCCATTCCAGTCCGCAAACTCCGTTTTTGACCGCCACGACCAATGCATCGAAACAAAATGCCAAAAAACGAATGACCCATTCTCAGAGGATCAATCACGCTTCACATTCCCTTGAGGCTGCACTTCAGTCCACACGCCCGGTAACCACGCTGAGTTGTGATTTCGAGTGGCTTCCGCCATTACTGTATCCACCAGACACACTGTTTGATTCATCAAGATCCACCAAGTAAGTTATTCTACTGATTGTTTTTCTCCGCGCTTTGAACTCTGGCCTTTAAGCGTTGTTGCCCCCCGTAACGCAAATAACCCATCTGGTGGTGATATGACTCTACGTTAGTCACAGATGTTACTGTTTGAAACTCAGCAGCATTCCTAAACATGAAGACGACTTGTGTTTGTCAATTTCTCCAGATTTCTCCACCCCGCATCGTTTTTTAAACTAACTACGAAAGTCGTGCCTTAGTTGTGGGAGGAATTTGGAAATGTACCAGATTTTCGCGTAGAAGGTATGATCTGTTCTTTGAATCTGTTGTTGATCCCAATTCTTTCTTGTATGGCAACCAACGGGGATCCAATTTGCACTTTTTCGGTGATTTGTGTCTTGTGATGGAGTACAAATTGAGAACTGTCAGTTCACCAGGATAGATACTAGTCAGTATATTACTCCGTCCGCCTTGAAACTCGACTGGTCTTGTAGGTGACGAATTTTCTGGGGCAATAAATTCGCCAACCTTTCCTGAAACGATGACCCCTCACTCGGTGACGAATCTTACTCCAGCATTTTTATTGTGCTCTAGACCATCATTAATTGGTTTTTTGCAATTCTTAAAAGTTTATGAAAATCTTGTTTGATTACCGCCAGCTTCCCACCGACTGGTCGTCACAGAATAACGTGTTTCAAATTTGCTCTGGTTGTCATTATCAAGTTATCTTTTACAATCGTAAATTGTGCCGGTCACAGTGTGCGAGTCTCATATTCCGATTTTTGGTCTAACGGTAAATCACGTGAACAGAACTGCATCGATGTGAATCCAACATACAGCTAAGCTAACAGACTCAAAATGATAGAGTAGGTCTTGATCAAGTTGAAAGATAACCATTCGAACTCAATACCTACCAAAGGACAAATTCACGAGCGACACTTCTCACCATTAATTAGGATAGAATCGAGGAAAAGTCCGTGATCTTTTCATTACTCTCCATCTGTTCATCTGAGTTGCTGCTCGCGTCATTTGTACGGTGTAGCAGCTCTCTACTGGGTTTGAGAAGCACCACTATTCTTGAGAGAATACAGGAGGTATTGATACAATTTAAAGTGCTGCTTGACCTCGTATTGTTGGTCGCTTCCACCATTTTGTCAACCGATCAAGACTACGCACATTGGCCACAGTCGAGACCCCATAGAGCTGTTATAGGGTGACCACTTTTCAAATAGCTACTTTCTCAAGAGGATTGACCTACCGCGGATTGGTAGTTACCACACAAGTCGCAAGACCCAACTTTCTAACTGCCTTGTGATGAACTATGAGTGGATTCAACGTATGTGCTTATCTATGCGTTGTTTTCTGTTCGCTGCTCTTGTGTACTCCACAGACATTAGAGGAAAAATTATCTAGACTGTCTTTTCACCTCAGACGTAGTTTCATAATTATTTTGAGCAATGCTCGCCCATCAAATGTGTCTGCTTTGGATGCTGTAAGACCGCACATCGTTGTTGCTCATAGCCTTTGTGTTGCACTGGTTTTCGAAGTACTTCGCATCGGCTCCTATAATTTGGTTCCCCACTTAATCACACTTTATCTATCTTCGAATTTCAGTAAACATTTGTCGCTTTTTGGCTTCTCTGTAATTAGTTATGCAATGTCGACAAACCTACTAGCCTGTCGTCTCATATACCTCACCAGACTCTTCCTGTCTGCCATTTCTCGTTGGACAGAACTGTAGCGGGTGGAACCAATATACCCTTGATGCCTTAGCTGACTGGCTTACGAAGCCATTCGCTCTGGAATATGTCTATATCGTTTAGGGCTGTTTAGTAGGAGAAGATACAACGATAATTTCAGAGTTTCTTCATAGCCCAACCTTTCGATCGCCGAGGGGAATCTTCAGAGGCAAATTAGTCGGGCTTACAAAGGACAAGAGAAACAAGTTCGGGTTGGGTTTTATCGCTATGTGATCAGTCATCTAGGGGCCGTTCACTCTGTTAAAGTGTGTCAGTTGAGTTGAAGCTGAGGTTGGTGATCTCGGACGGTTGTGACAACATTGCAGTTGTCGTTGCTTTTTCACAACTACTCAGCTTAAACAGATATCGCACACCTCACAAACTCTTCGACTTCAATCATACGGAATACAGTTCTAAAATTTACCTGTGTTTGCTCAAAAAGCTATCCACCACTCTTGTTTGAAGTCTTCTCATTGTCCTGGTGTGATTATTCTCGTGAGTGCACACCGAAATTGGGAGGGAACCACTGGACTCGACGTACGAGACGACCACTACTCCACCAGCGCACGCTGAATCATCATTCCCGAACGGCTGTGGTTAGTTTTGTCCGACTCCTTGAAACAACGACACAGCAGCTTTTCTGGATGTGTCGATTGATTGACTCGCCTGTCAGGACTTCCCAGTCAGCTAACGCCACGTTGTAAAGTAAAATTCGCCTTCACTGGAGACTCAGATGAATCTCTCGTTTATGATGTCCTACAACTAAATATGCTGCACACAGGCCGCCTCATTATTCAGTTGGCACGATATTCGAGATATCGCAGTATATTTTCATAGAGGAAACTACTCATACGGTTGCTGAAAACTCCTCAACAGCCCACGACCGGTTTCGCCCTTCTTGGAGCTCATAAGGACTCATNGCAAATCAATTTGGTTTTCACGGGAGACTCAATTGAATCTCTCGTTTATGATGTCCTCCAACTGAACGTGCTGCACACAAGCCGCCTGATGATTCAGTTGGCACGATATTCGAGATATCGCAGTATATTTTCATAAAAGAAATGAGTGAACAAATGAGTGTATTTCTCGAAAACAGTCCAATTTGGGTTCAAGTAGAACATAAGGTTGACGGAAACTCGGTGACTGCGCCTACCTGATGAGCCCCAAGAAGGGCGAAACCGGTCGTGGGCTGTTGAAGAGTTTTCAGCAACCTTGTGAGTAGTTTCCTTTATGAAAAACGTTCGCCTGTTTAGACTTGCTAGGTCGTGTGCGTCCAGCCTGTGCTGGTGCAGTGGCGACAACACGCTCGCCTCGCATTCCAGATGTCCGGAGTTCAGACGACACGATATGAATTTCTGGTGAGCTATAAAAGGAGCGAAATTCGAATCCCCTGCTCCTATCCTTTGGTGTGAACTCACCTGAATAATCACGGCAGGACAAGTGGAAGACTGCTCAGAAAAGAGTATTCTAACCACCTACAACTAATAAAAATCATGAAACTCTCAAATCTCAGAAAAATTTCACTCTACCGAGTTCACACTACGCTTCGTTGTCTCCTTTCCTGAACGTATTCCGGATGCAAATGGTGAGCCTTTCGGTGTGCGATTGACAACAACCTGAGTTTGACAATAGTTCTCGAGTCGTCAAGCCCTTTATCCTCACGACTGTTCCTTCCTTTGCTCGTAATATCCTCTCCTAATCAATCATTTGTGCACCTGTTTTTCAGCCGTATGAACTCTTCCTCAACCCGCCGGTCACAGTCCCATTCGAAAACCGTTTCGAAACCCAAGTTCCCTCAGCAGTGTACCTCCACTACGACTACAACCGCCACTACTAACACTGAACAAAACTACGTTGATCCATCCACCTTGTCGGTCGACGAACTTGAACAAATTCTACAACGATGGTTTCAAGCGGGTTACAACCTGGGACAAGAACATGCACTTCAGGTTGTTTCTGGTGTACTGATGCTTAACTGATTCCAAATCTTATCTTGTAGCAGACGATATAGCTCTTCTGAAATTTGACTCCGTGGTGATGCAAACAATACTAAATAATCCAAATTATTCTGTCTTACGGTTCGGCATGCGCTTCACACCTGCAAAGTGTAAAGTGCTACTGCAAGACTGGATGGGCTCGAATCCCAGCCTCATGCTTGCGGATGAACTGATTGAGGTAATAAAAAAGCTTGTTTACCCGTCCCGGTGGTCTCGCGAAAGATGATATTTTCATCCGGATCGGGAAGGCCAGAGCCTGCGTCACCTGTGGCGTAGGCGTGACATCAGCTGCTCTGTCAAGGGTCGAGTTTACATTGCTGCGGTGCGCTTCATATTACTATACGGATCTGAATCCTGACCGCTGCACGCCGAGGACGTCAAAAGACGTTCAGCGTTTGACCATCGATATCTTCGAGCATTGCCCGAATCTGGTGGGAACACCGGATCAGCAATGCTGAAGTTCGCCGGGAAAAGTAACACCCTCGGTAGATAAACTGATCACACTGCATAGATTGCGCTGGCTTGGCCAAGTGCTTCGTATGCCAGTCGACCGACTTCCTCGAAGGGCTCTTTTCGCCCAA